GAATTAAAAAATTCTCAAATTTTTCTTTGGCCTGTTTCAATTCAAATACTGATAAATTAAATTGTTTGTCACTCACATATTTAAATAATTCCTCGATAGACAAATCTTCAATAATTTTTTCCAAATGTTTCTTGGAATCAATAAATAATTCTCCTAATTCTTTCTCAATTAATTCTAAATCTAATTCTTCTTAAGTCATCATTTACTTTTCTAATAATAAACGTAATTGTAAGTATTCAATTTATCCTTTGGCCTCTTATAAATTATGTTCAAAGTCATGCTGAGTTAAAGATATATTTGCTAACTCAGTCATAGTTAATTTATCAAAGTTATTATTACAACAAATTATTGTTTTTGGATAATCTTTAATTACAGAAAGAAGAAACGCATCAAGATTTATCAATTAATATAATTGTTGCAATTCTTATGTGTTTGTTTATCCTAAAATAGTGTCGAAAGACTTCTTGAAAATGTCTAATTTTAAATTTAATTTAAAATATTTGAGCCTTAAGTTTTAGATACATTATTTTAAATGCCCATCAGCTAATAGTAATTTTATCTTCTTAAGATTTCCAGTTTTTGAAACTGTCTCTATTTCATATTTGATTTGAATAATTTCCTTAAAAATTAACATGGACTCATTATTATTGTTTTTAAATTATTAGTTCAAAGCCTCATAGTAAATAAAAATATTATTCAACTAATTCTCACAAAATAAAATACGATTATTATTTTGAAGTAGAGAAATTTCCATCTTCTCTAATTGTTTCCAAGAATTTGTAATAAACCGTATCAGATTTTAAGCTGCATCCAAAAGTTTATGTTAATTTAAAGAGGTAGTTGGTAAAGCCAAAAGTTTCTTTTTCAGCTCATCAAGTATTGAATTTTTTTATTCTTCCAGTTCAAGTTTTCTTAATTCATCCTCAACAAATTCTTTCTCCTGCAAAAGTCTTTCCCATTCATCAATCTCATCATTTTGATTTGAAGATTAATTTTATTTTTTATCATCCATCCTATCCTTAAAATCTTAAATTAATTATTATAATGCTTGTTCTAATATTTTAATCAAGTATTTAAGTTATTATAAATTATTGAATTGAACAATTTATTTCTATTCAAATTATTTAATCTGAAAAGGTTATTTCCACGAATTAAGCCTAATAATTCTAATGATTTTTTGAGTGCTTAGCAAATATTCTTTGAAATTCAGTATCATCTAATTTACTTATTTATGATAAATTTTTTATTATATCTTCTCATCAGTCAACTATATATTGTTTTTCATTTCAGTTAGAAAATTTTTTTTTACTCCTCCTAATTTCTCATAATTTTCTTTCACTAAAGTAAGTAATTTATTTGAAATTATGAAATCAAAAAATGTTTAAATTTTCCCAACCAATATATTTTCATCTTTTTAGGGTTCTATGTTTCCTAATTTTGATGTGATTTGTAAATATGACTAAAAAGTGAAATGGATATTTGGATTTTTTTCATTAAGTAAAAAGTCTTTAAGTAAAATGAAATTTTCCCATTCTTTGAAGCAATTTTGTAATATCAATCTATCTAATTAAAGTAATTTCTAATTTTAAAGTTTATTAAGTAAAATGATAGCTTAGTCATTGCTATAGTTCATTTAAATTAGCAATCCTTTGTTTTGATATTCTTTCCACGTTTATCTTGAGTTGGCTCCTAAATAGAATTAAGTCATCTGATATAATTTTTATTTTGTCAAGAGTGGATTATATATTAAGATTTTCCCAATCATTTAAATCCACAAAAAATGAAATTTCCAATTAATTGAATTTTTCACAAGTTATTCATGTATTGTTTGAATTTTTTCAATTATTTCTACTAAACTTTTTTCTTTGTCATTTTTAAAATAACTGATTATCTCCCATTATAATGTGTCTATTTAAAAATAAACTTCATATTATTGTCTATTTTTCGAAACAGTATACATCTTGTAAGCTAGAAGGGCTCCTTAAAACAAGGATTCAAGTAATTCAGCATTGGGTTTCATTTGTATTATCGAGGTAATTATACCACTTAAACACCCTTTTAAAATGTCTTCCCTTTCGTTACTATTATTTGGAGCCATCTCAAAAGAAGTCTTCGTTAAGAAAAGGTATAATTCCATTTAGATTTGAATCAAATCATTTTTCTCTATTTCCATTTATTATTTTAATTCATCTGAAATATCTAGAAATTCCTGTTATAAATCAAATTTGATAAATCTCTCCCTATTCAAGATATGAAAGCTAAATATGGCTTTAGATAGAGATGCTGTTATTTATAAGATATACAAGCATTTAAATGAATCTGTTTTAATATAGATCAAACAACACTTCAATAATTTTCTGATTCCCTCTAAAATTAAGTTATATGATTTCATGACATTTTGGAAGTTCTTGTTAAGTTTGTAAATATTTTCCTCTTAAAAAATAAACCATTGTATTGCTATCATTATTTCTTCAGATTATGATTGATCAGCAGCTACTGTTGCTTTTGAGCAAATTATATCAACATAGTAATCGAATCTATTGATGAAATTTTCTAAGTCTTCAATATCTGACTTTAAGTTCCTTTATGTGTGTGGAATTATTCTAAAAGAACCACATCCACCTCCCCGCAATGTTGCTGTTGTCTTAATCATTCAGCCTGGAAATTTATAAAAATTTAAATAATAAATCTATACCGGTATATAATCTTTGAATATAAAATATTTTAAAGAATTCTGAAATTCTTAAACTATTCACTATTTTGGAATTCTGAATTTTTCAAAGAGAGTCTAAGATCGACAAATGCTGATGTAATTAATTTTAAATAATTATGAGACAAGTACATGATTCTTTAGTGAGATATGAACGATTAACTATTTTTTATGGACTTCGTCTTTCTAAAGGCCTAACTTCTATTCTCTAAGCTTAGCATAGTTTATGAATTCTTCATCCTATGTAGGGTTTTAGATGTACTTTCAATTTCATATTGTAGTTAGTCTAAAAATATCAAAATTTATTTTTCACTAATAATCAAGTATTTCGTATTAATTGTAAATGATGAAAGTTTCGTCTTCCTTGCTCACAATTTCGAATGAATTAATTGTAGTTATATCAAATTTTAATAATATCCTAATATTTGAATTATTTTTTCCTCCTATGCCTTCTCTTTTAAATTTAGAACAAATTTTATCCTCCCATTTCCATTACATATTTACATTAACTAAATCTAGAATTAGCCAAAATAAAGTGATTTTAAAATTATTAATCACAAAGCTGAAAAAAAAAATTCCAATATTATTAAATAGATGTTTAATTTTCTATCTAAGTTACTCATTTTTTTTATTGGTTTTTATATATTTATGCTGTTTGGTATTTTAATTTTATTTATTCTGGTTTAAATTTTGCTCAATTAATTAGGTTCTCATGTGATAATCTTATATCAAGTTTTCATTTTTCCTTTATTTTAAGTTAAGAAGCTAGAAAATCAAGGATTTAAAAAGAAGTATGGAAAGAAAGGTTAAAATACTCATTCATCTCTTAGAAAATATCACTTTAAGCCATTTCACCATTTTAATCAAGATGTGCAAAAGCTTTTTTAATATTTATTTTTGTGCATCATCTCTATTTCGAGATAGTGATTTGTTCAGAAATAAAAATTATAAAATTATATCTAGGTTCATCAAAAAATGGTGATCAAAATTTTTAATTTCTAAAAGAATTTTAATATTTATTTTTTTCTTTTGCCAAAGCTTAGCTCATACTAACAAAGGATCTTTATTCAAGAAGGTAACAGGATATTCACAAAAGGTTTTTCAGATTTGGCCAACAAATGCATAGTAGATGGACAAAAAGTAAGATCAACCCCAAATTAATATATAAATATTACTTAAAAAAAGTTAAATTAAAAATTTTCGCTTCTAATTATACTCTAATGCTAAGTGCTAAAACATAAAGGTGTTATTTAAAAATGGAGAATTATTCAAAAAGGATGATCAAAATTTAAATTGTAAATATAAAGAAAAAATGGTATCGATTTCTTTTTTAACAATCTTATTTTTTGAATCCAAT